CAAGAACTGGTGAAGAACAGAAAGAAATAGAGCACAAAAGTGGGTGAAAAAGACAACGATTTCTATAGAGAAACACAGTGGCAAATTACTCCGACTTCTGAAACAAAAACAACAGCAACAAACGACATTTGAAAAGATAAGACCAACAGGATGTATCATTCCGAGACTTGACGGTTTACCGAAGATACATAAACCGGAAGTTCCCATGCGGCGCGTTGTTGATATGTCCGGTTCACCCTACCATTTGATCGCTTGTTGATTAACCAACCTACTCGAACCTGTCAGGAGGAAGTTGTCCCCACACTGGACTTACTGGACTCGTTCAAGTTTGCTGACGCAGTTTGAGAAATGAATGTGGAAAATCAAAAGATGTTGTCATTGGACATGACTTCTTTGTTCAGAAATGTCCTTCTCACAAAAACGATAGACTATGTTTGCCACTTTCTCTTCAATAACGATATCAACATAGGCATACCAGTCCATGTCTGTACAGAATTTCTTACGTTTCGCAACGCAGACGTACAGTTCCAGTTCGATGGTTCCATTTGAAGGTCGAAGAATGGTATAGCAATGGGGTCTCCGCTTGGTCCACTACTCGCAGATATATTCATAGCTAAGACAGAGTAGCACCTTAAGACCCATCATCACACGGATGAACATGTATAGGCGCTATGTCGATGATGTCTTCTGCTTGGTATCTTCAAACATCGACGTGGACGAGATCCTGCGAACGTTCAATGAATCTCATCCGAACCTCCACTTCCCCATAGAGCTAGAGAATGCTGTTTCACTTCGTTTTCCGCATGGTCTTCTACAAAGAAAAATCGACAGTGGAATCGAAGGAAATGTATATCACAAACCTACGTGGAACGGAAAATACACGCATTTTCCGAGCTGCGTACCAGTGCAACAGAAACGAAATTTCGGGTGTTGTCTGGCCCATAGAACCAGACAAATCTGCTCCGCCAACAAGCTTCCAGATGAACTGCTTCTGCCAGGCAACAAGTTAAGGAAAAACGGCTATCTAAGAAGCTTCATCAATAGGCACACTGCGACGGATTCTCAGCTCTGTTATTCTACGGTCCCTAAGAGAAGGGTTTATACAACAATTGAATTCAAGGAGGTTAGGGTAGCGGAAACGCTAACTCGTCGATTATCCCACGCCATTGAAAGAACTTACAGTCGATCTCCTGCTATGTCGCACCCCTGAGAAGTCGCATTTTCTAATGTACTCCCACTTTTTCGAAAACCCAAACCAATCGTATGCTTAATAGCGTAGTTTCTGAATATGCGATGTCGCTCCCCTCAATGTGTCGCAGTTCCTGATACGTTCTCATTTGGTCGTTGACCAATGTTCGGGAACACCATTGACCATCCTCCCTGAAATTGAACCGAACGACAGCAAAGCTGTCTAACACTGAAGTTGTTTGACGAAGTGGCAAAATCTACCACGCTCGAAATGAAATGAACCAATAAAGTCATTCTTGAAATGTTAATGCAGTTTGCCTAAGTCGCATCACTAGGGGGCGCATCCAGTTCGTTGAGAAATTTGCCAAAATACATTAACTGATCATACCTTGGAAGAATAAATGACACGTTGGGATCCAGGAACGACATCAAACACCAAATCGCACGAGAGACTATCGTGGCGAGCACAGGCAGCCCAGCCATCTGCTAACGGTCCGAAAACGGTCAGGTAGATAAAGTTGTCGTAGATTAGGGTCTTGCCAAATCCTACTCGATCCAGATTATAAGTAGCGCTTAATCCACCCTGAGTGAATCGGGAGGGAATAAATAAGGTTAAGTATGATAGTGAGAGAGGGAATAATCGGGTATAAAACAAGATATTGGCAACACAGACAGAAATTGAATAAGTTACGAGCTAGACAAAGTCGGTTGGATATTCGGTGCAATAGATTCTGACGTTTTATTGGTTTCGTCTCAGTTGTGACTCGTGAATAGTACGCGCTATTTTCATGTTTCAGGCAAAACCCCGAACTGTGATCCTTCATCTTGGGAGCCGAGACTCCCAAAACTGATCTGCACATGGGTTGACGAGAAATAACTCGAGCACATGGCTGAATAATTCACTATGGTACTTCGTATGTCGAATTTTTCAACGCGTGAGCCCGACTCCCGCATGACTTGTCGTATAGCCATAATCAAGCTTTGTGCAGATACAGATTGCTTGTCAATGAAATAGTATAAGAGATACGGACTCAGTTATTTTTCAAGAACAGTGAAGATTTCACAATTGCTCTGAAAACAATGAATGGCGCAAAGATGGAAAGTCAAACCCTATACCGAGGACGGGTGCGCAAATGTGAATGCGCAAAATTTATTGCTAGTAACAGGAAACTTGCACACAGCATCCACTGAACTTAGAATTGTGGTAATCCGCGTTCAGGTCTTCAGTTTACACAACTGTTAACTTTCTCTGGGCGGTTTCGATAGATGTATCTTAGCTGTCCATTTGGAGGAAGAGAAGATTGGAATGTCGAGAGTAGTATCAAGGTGAAAATAAAGAATTCTTGAAGACCAATGCTTCAAGGAAATTGAGTAGATGCGCAAGCGAGACTCAGTGAGAGAGACAGAGCGACAGCAAGGACTCACCTGAACACTGAGTGTCAAGGCAGAGGGGCAATGGGGTTCATCCAGTGTGTAGGGAACGGTAGTTTCCGGACCCAGATAGGATGAAATCGCTCCGTTATTCCAGGTGACCAAATCCGGTTCCGAAAAATTATCTCGTTTGTGTAGTTCAGAAAGATATTGTCGGTCTGGCGAAGGTACCGGAGACGGAGTGAAACGCAGCGGCGATCGCTCGTGATCTGCAGTATCAGAAAGTGGAACTCTGTTTTGTTGACCAGACACCACTGAGGAAGAGCGCCGCGATCGCATAGGGACAGAGTCTTTGTCGGAACTGTTGATTTCTTGATGATAAGATAATCCAACAAGACTGGCATTCTCTAATCGAAACGGAGGTGGAAGACTGTTAGCGTCCTTAAGCACAACGTGGAATGTGGCTGCGCGCAACATGATCACCACTCGAAGGAACATGCGATCAAACGGAGTATAGGGCCGAACCAATCCGCGCAATTTGGCCGGTGTTTGGGAGTTCGGAATCAGCCTAAGAAATCAAGGTGAATAAAGTGAGGTAATTTGAAATAGAGATGTTACTTGGTCACCCGAGAAAACTCAGTCAGAACAAATTTTTTTTATGAATACTACACCATGAATAGGGGTTTATCTCGTTAACTGGATACCAATTTCTGTGCAATAAAAAATAATTAGTAATTAGATTTGGATGTCCACATTCAGGTAATGCAGCAATTGACAGTTATCTCCAAATAGACGGTTTAAACGACGCATCATGACCTAATTCCTAGAAGAAATACAATGAGCGAAAGTGGTGAAGCGCGGTCCCGTTTACGAAACATTGCAACATCGCGTGGCAGTGTGAGTTTTCGTTATCTGAGAAGAAGAAATCGCCTGTTTGGAATTCGATCATGCAGAAGTGGGTTATTCAAAATTTTTGTATCAATTCTCATCTTTAGTTAGTAGATGAATTCGTTTCGAATCAGGCTAAGCATCGCAAAGAAGATGAATGTGAGGCAGTGAATGCGCCGGGGATTAACTCAATCAGAGGCACAGAAGTTATTGCATCAATTGAAGCTGTTTGCCTTGGCTAATGCTCGGAGTTCGGGTAGATTATTGGAGTTTATAATTGATTTAAACAGCGCGTTTGTTGATTTCCAACGGAGAGCTGAGCTGAGACAAACAGCGGTTTATGATTTTGCTAAAAATTCATCTTTATAATCTGCAGTTTTTTGCAATTCTGTGGGGCACTGAACTGAAATGTGGTCATTTTTGCTACAGAGGTCACCAAAGTCACAGTCATTCGGTCTATCGATGGGCTCTGTAGCACTAACGTGCAAACGAGTGAACGATAATTGCGATTGACTGGTAAGCGGGTGAGTAGAATGAGATGTCAGATCCGAGCGATCGATAGACACCGTAACACGGATGCCCCTGTGTGAATGAATGACCGATACTCTCACTTGTCCTAGAGCACCGATGAAATTAGACAGGTCATCGTAACCCTGGTCTAAGGGCAGTTTGTGAGATGCACTTTTAGTTTATGAATCGTTCACTGCTTCATAGTTGCCGTAATTCCTGTAGGTTGGCGTCTATGACCTTCGGTTGGCTGAACAGGAGTGAATTTCTTCCTCCTCCTCGTCTCACGCCTATCAGAAAAATTGCTCTAGAACCCGCTCAAAAATAGTGCGTGTATATTAGACGAGTCAAACGTTGGTCCAGTGTCATCATCGCTTGAATTTTTTCACTCTGAACCTCCCACATGGCGCATCGTTTCACAACCGATTCTCCTGTGGTTATTCTTTATCAACCTAAGCAGCATTCGATTCAGAACTTATCCTCCTCCTATACCGACCCGAAAACCACATGACCGATCGGGTTCGTTTATCGATCGGTCGGATAGGTCACAGCAACAACAGATTTCGCGCTTGCTCACCTAACCCGAGCGAGAAACCCCACCTTGTCTACAACGGCCAGTCTTTAGCAGACCCAGTGAACTTCGGCTCTACTGCAGGCGTGTTTTCATCGCACGGATGGACTGGACATGACAACAAGATCAATGTGAGACGATGGGGTAATCGGACTATCCACGTAGAAACGACATATTCAATTGATACTCGGGCATTTTAAACCGAAAAAGGTATGCTTTATGAATCACGGTAAGCCACCACCAGTTGAACTTAGTCCGACTGATAACGGTCATGATAAATGCATCAATCGGTTTGAACATACACTGGTAACAACAGAACAAACGAATAAATAAATGTCTACAGACGATAATGATATACATTTTTCAATAGAAAATCGCAACGAACAATCAGTGTGAAAATTGGATGAAGGTCAATGTTCTGAGTATACCCCGTAACAGATATTTCACTCATTCTAGATGTTATTTCCTTCTCGCTGTATTCGAACTGGTTCACCTCTATTTTCCTTGCATAGGTTATTCAGGATGTGATTATTATAGCTAAAACAGTTGTATATTTTGGGTGGACGTCATATGATCAATTATGTGGTTAGCCCAACGTTGCAATGGAATGGAGGAATATCTGGAAATAATATGGGATAATTGGGTCAGAAAACGTTCCCCTGAAGAAAGGTAGGTATGTTCGGGATAACAAGACACGGAACCGAAAAAGGCTGAAAATCGCATGCCATGTACCGATANAAAAAAGACTTCAAACTGCTTTCCAGATCATTAACACATCTATCTAGAAGCAGTGGGATTTCCCGTGAAACTATCTGTCACTTCATCATTTCCAAACATAAAAAGTCAAGTCTTTCGTTATCAACAAAAATCTTGGATAACCCTTCACATCCATTACATCAAGATCTTATCAAGTGTGGTTCCTCCTCTTCCACCTGGTCCCGTTATAAGTGTTTATTTGCTCGTACGACCGCTTATCGGTATTCTGTGGTGCCCTATCTTGCCCGATTTCTTGTCAGCGCAGAAAGCATTGTTTCGGACCTATACTCAGTTATCTCTTAAATTGTATTCATTTTCACTGCTCACGATAATTATGCTATAATTTTGTTCGATAATTGTTAGATGACTATATGACTGCTGAATATCCACCTTTCGGGGTGCATAAAGAAAATACTTGAAAAAAAAAACTTTGTCCGACTGATAACGGTCATGATAAATGCATCAATCGGTTTGAACATACACTGGTAACAACAGAACAAACGAATAAATAAATGTCTACAGACGATAATGATATACATTTTTCAATAGAAAATCGCAACGAACAATCAGTGTGAAAATTGGATGAAGGTCAATGTTCTGAGTATACCCCGTAACAGATATTTCACTCATTCTAGATGTTATTTCCTTCTCGCTGTATTCGAACTGGTTCACCTCTATTTTCCTTGCATAGGTTATTCAGGATGTGATTATTATAGCTAAAACAGTTGTATATTTTGGGTGGACGTCATATGATCAATTATGTGGTTAGCCCAACGTTGCAATGGAATGGAGGAATATCTGGAAATAATATGGGATAATTGGGTCAGAAAACGTTCCCCTGAAGAAAGGTAGGTATGTTCGGGATAACAAGACACGGAACCGAAAAAGGCTGAAAATCGCATGCCATGTACCGATACTAAGCTGAGGGCGTCATAAAAGATTTAGGTTTCTTTGATGTATACAGGATACGCAGCACGGTAGATCTCAATGCCGTTATAAATAAACAGTTTATAATCATAAATATTGGCAAGAACTAACGGGATTAACCTACTTTTTCATCGATCCGGTTTATTTTGTCACAAAACTTTCAACCGATTTTTATACTACTTATTAACATGTACTACTGTTTACCCTGCTAGGTCGCAGTTCCTGTAATTTACCCACTTTTTCGAATTCCCGAGGTGTGCGACATAGCACTAGATTGACTATAATTTTCTGCAAAACTTTATCTCTCCTTTACTACGAACCCTATGCTGCATTTACAACTCAAAAACAAGTTGCCTAGTCAGTGCACCTCATTCGTCGAGACCCTACTGCTGTCCTGACCTAAGGCCTGTAAGATCGTGAAACAGACACATCAGTTTGATTCATCCTTGGCTGGTCCATCCGGACGCAGTCCTCAACATCAATCATCACAATAAGTGTATGGGTGTTTACACTACGGATTATCATACTGTGTTGTGTCTATGCATGTTCCATTGTGTGTACTCTATTGGCTTGATGAGAGGTACCGAAGAAACAGATCTGTCCTTTCCACTTTGAGACTTCTCAAACTGGGATAACTAGATTTTGTGTGTGCCTGTGCTCACCGTAAACCTTTTGATGTTTTTCGTGTTGTTTTTCTACGGGGCACGGGATTTCGACAGACAGACCGTACGGCATTCGCGCCACTGACTTCTATTGTTGCCCATATCTCTCAGCGTCTCGAACCAACGACAATCCTCATCCCTTGAGCCCCAACCTGGAAGGCGGGATGCACCAACCGAAGGCAAAGCTGAATCTAGCTTCTTCATGCCTCTACGCCATGTCATGGTCTGACCGCTGAGGCGCTTCTTCCAGCCTTGCACGGCGCGTGAGAAAAGAGCACGGAAAGTCGATGAGCAGGCATATGCAATACGTGACCAAGCCGTTGGAGGCGGTGCAGATCAATTACTTCTGTTAGAGAACGACTATCCGCACCCAATAAACGACGACGGATCTCGTCATTGCTCACCTGATTTTCCCACCAGACACGAGCAACATTTCGGAGACCTCGGTGGTCGAATGCAGAAAGTCGATTAGCATCCTGAACGCGGAGGGGCCAGGTCTCGCAATAGTAAAGCAGAACACTACGAACTGCGGCGGTGTACACCCTTCCCTCAAACGACTGTCGGATGTCATGGCAGCGCCAAATGTGTCGCAGGTTGGCGAAAGCTGCTCTGGCTTTCGATATCCATCGATATACCCCCCCCCCCCACACCCAA